GAGGAAAGACATGATGTGAATGGCACTATTTTCAATGATATTGCAAACCTAATTAATAAAGTAGCTAAGGGTAAAATAATTATATACTGTGCAAGCATAAACCTTTGCAATGAGATACTAGAACAAATGCAAAATAAGCTTCTTCAAATAGCTTTTAGTACCTTTCATGAAAAGATGAAAGATATGGAAAAGGATATAACAATAAAAAAATGGAAACATGGTGAAATTAGAGTAATGATCGCAACTTCAGTCTTCAGAATGGGTATAAATGATAAGGAAATTAGATTGATACTGCACTATACATTTCCAATGAGTCTTAGTGAGTATAATTTGTTTTATAAAACAGATAACTAAAATATAAACTAACCTTTTACTTTAGCTGATCTAATTCAGTTATCTGGACGAGCAGGCCGTGACCACTGTGATGCCCGAGACGTGATATTTTATACTGATCGAGATATAAAAACAAATTATGGAATTATTACAGAAAATTGTGAGAGGTAAGTTTAAACATCAAATGCGAACTAGTACTTCACAAAATCAAATCAAATTTTAAATTTGAATCAAATATTTGAAATTATTTGCAAATAATTTTAATAGTTGATTCAAATTTAAAATTTGATTTGATTTTGTAGCTAACATAGCTTGAAATTATTTTAGTATGCCAAAAGGTTCTATGCAGCTCGAAACAGCCAAACAAATATATCTGTCAAAGAAACGAAAGGATATATTCGAGATGCTCTTTTTTTGTAATACAAAGTATGAATGTCAAATGAAAGCACTTACAGAGCACCATGCTTGGAATGGAGATCAAGAGCCTAGTGAATGTGGAAAATGTGATAATTGTCAATGCCGTATCAAAGATAATCCAAGTATCTGGGATGTAACAATCGATATCATAGAATTACTACGTGTGGTAGAAGTCTTAACTACAACCTATGACCATCAAATTACACCTGCTGATATAATTGGTGTTTTTAGACGATCTAATGCTGCTAGAATAAAAAAATTGGGTTATCAACAGTTGGAGGAATTTTATGATCAAAAAGATGTTAAAAAATCAAAAAAGCCAAACCTATTGAGCACTATTGAACTCGCAGAATTTGCACTTAAAGACTTAGTCAGAAAAGGGTTAGTTTTACAAGACATT